GTCTTTAAAACTTCTGAAAAATAATGTATTGTGAAACTTTAAATTCCTAATTACTTTTATTAGCATTGGGTGATCTTTGGTGGCGTCTTTATGTTTGTCATTTTTATAAAAGACTTAAAAGATGCATCTGTATTTCTTATATTATTTTCATTTGTATTTTTCTTTCTATTCTCTTTTTCCATCATTTTTTTGTCATTCCATTTTTGTGTGCCAATATTATGTTCCTCTTACCTTTTTGCATGGTCTTAAATAATGAACACGAAGATAATCATAATAATAATCTTAGATTTGATTTCAAAATTTTAATTCATGTTGATGAACTTAATAATGAGGAAGATTCAGATAACTACACATTACCTCCTGATTTGTTAAAATTAATAGAACATGAAGATAAGTCAATTGAACCCCACCAGATCGAATTAGTGAATTAGGGAGACGGTGAAAATAAAAAAGAGATCAAAGTTGGTACATCTATTTTGCCAGTTGAAAGAAAAAAAATTAAAAAAAGCTTTTTCGAGAATATGTGGATGTGTTTGTGTGGACTTACCAGGATATGCTAGGACTCAACACTGATATTGTAGAGCATAAGTTGCATTTAAAACTAAAATACAAGCCAGTACAACAAAAGTCAAGACGCATGAAGTCGGAGATGCTGTTGAAAATTAAAGATAAAGTGAAGAAGCAATTTGATGTTGGATTTTTGGAGGTGGCAAAATATCCTGAATGGGTAGCCAACATAGTGTCAGTTCCTAAGAAAGATGAAAAAATAAGAATATGTATCGATTATCGAGATCTGAATAAGGCAAGCCCTAAGGATAACTTTTCTTTACCTCACATGATACTCTAGTGGATAATTAGGCATTCCACATTTTCCTTTATGGATGACTTCTCAGGTTATAATCAGATCAAGATGGCTCGAGATGATATGGAGAAAACTACATTTGTGACCATGTGAAGGACATTCTATTACAAAGTCATGCCTTTGGTTTGAAAAATGATGGTGCTACTTATTGAAGAGCAATGGTGACTCTTTTTCATGACATGATGCATAAAAAAATAGAGGTATATGTGGATGATATGATCGTAAAATCTCGTGAGAGAGAAAATCATGTAGTTAACCTCAAAAAACTATTTGATAGATTGAGAAGATTTCAGCTGAAGTTGAATCCTGCTAAATATACATTTGGTGCCAAATCAAAAAAACTATTGGGCTTTGTGGTCAGTGAAAAAAGAATCGAGATAGACCCGAATAAGATACAAGCCATCCAAAACTTATCTCCCTCTCATACCCCAAAAAAATACAAGGTTTTTTTACACTTTATTATATTATATATCTTCTGTTTCTTCATAAGTAATTTTATTTATGTATTAAGTATTTTTTTTCTTTTCAATTTAGGGTAATATCTACATTCGATAAGAAGATAAAAAAATCGAAATGGGTGTTATTACTGGTAAATGTGAAATATATTCTTTTACGCTGAGTTTGTGTAAATAAATATTTTTTAAATCAACTCAATTTAATTTTCAGGTACTTTCTCAACTCAATAATACTGAATGTAGATATTATGTCTTTTGTTTTATACAAGAGATAATGTTACATGATTTTATGACCACACCATTCAAGGTTAGTATAAATTTCATAAACTCGTTATATCTTCAAAAAAAATTAAAAAGTACATTATTTTCTCATTTCTTAACATTTACTTCTGTTTTTTTTTTAGTGGAACAGTAAAAAAAGCTTCATAGAAAAGAAACTAGATGAAGTCAATAAAGAATGGTGTGATTATGTATTATCATTTATCAATGTTGATAAACCTTCAAGTTAAACATTGTTGGTTGAATGTAAATATATAAGGAACAAATTATTATAACGTTTTTAACATGCCATGTTGAATGGAAACTTTAAGTTTGTACATTGGGGTATTGGTTTAATATTATTGTTATACTTAATATGAATACACTATATGTACTTAATAAATTATTGAGTATGATTATTTTATAAAAGTATATTAATATGGCAACGTTATCAGTTTTAATTTCAGATGTGTGATCAATTTATTGAAATACAACAATATTCATTATGTAAATTTTAAAATATAATTCGTAGTATCAGATATATAAATCAAATGTTTTCTAGGCATAAATATATAACTGCCAGCAAACATTTTTTAGGCATAAACCTACAACTAACTTCACATATACAATATCAAATATTTTTTTATGGGATTAATGGAGGCATTTTTAGCAAGAAAATGCCTTGCATCATACCTAACAGAAAATTTTGAAGGCATTTTTTACCAAAATTACCTTCAATAATCCCCTCCAAAAATTTATTATGTGGAATATTAAAGGCATTTTAGGCAAAAAAAACACCTTCAATAATCCATCTTGACTTTTTTGTATGGAAACGCCTTCAATAATACTAACTAAAAATTAATCGAATAGATTATGAAAAACGTTTTTTTTATGGGTAATGCCTTGAATAGTCCCTAACAAAATGTTATTGAAGGCATTTTTTAGTATAACCACCTTCAATAATCTGACAATTAAAATTTATCATCTAGAATATTAAAGGCATTTTGAGCTAAAAATGCCTTCAAGCATCCGTTTTAATTTTTGTCTATGGATTATTGATGGCATTTTTGGCAAAAATCACCATTAATAATCACAATAAAAATTTATTGATTGGATTATAAAAGGCGAGTTCGATCCAAAACGCCTTCAAAAATCAGCTCCATTTTTTCTTATGGATTATTAAAGGCGTCTCTATACGAAAAATGCCTTCAATATTCCTGCAAAATTTTTTAAAGCAATTGGTGATGGCGTTTTTACCAAGAAAATACCTAGAATAATCAATTACAAATAATCTATGCAAAAACCCAAAAAAAAGGCTAAAAGGAGAGATCGAACCTACAATCTTATAATTAACATCTGTACGATCCAAATATTTTGATATGATATTTATTGAAGTAGTTTATTGAAGGCGTTTTTGAACAAAAATGACTTCAATAAGCTTGTGAAATTTTTTGATCTAATTATTAAAGGCATTTCTTGTAAAAAATACCTTTAATAATCTCATATAATTTTTTATGAGGTGATTATTTAAGGCGTTGTCTACCAAAAACACGCCTTTAGTATTCACTAAAATTTTTTAGGCAGGATAATTCAAAGTGGTTTAGTCGAGAAACGCTGTTGATATTAAGTCTTGGGTGGCGTTTATAAGTAACAACGCCGCTATTTGAATATTTAGTAGCGTTTGGATAATAAACGCCTTAAGTTTTATAAAATAATGAAGCTAGCGACGTTTGTAAGTGAAAGACCGTTACAAAATTATTGTTAATACGTTATTTTCTTGCAATGCTTTTAAATAAAGCCATGCATGTGTGTAATAACCTATTTTCTAAAAAAAAAAAGTTTTTTTCTTTATTTTTTTAATTTTTTTGCTATCCAACTTTCTTTTCACTTTTTTAGATTAAACCTAGCTTTTCAAGAATAAGGAATTTATACATAATTCTTCTAGTAATGAGCCAGAGAAAAATTCTCTATCAATCTTATCGAAGGAAAATGCCTAACATTTTGATGGTCAATATATAAGGATGTTTGTGCCTAATATATACGTGCTGGAATTCTAGTGAGCTATATTTTTAAAAGCAAATAAAAATTGAAAAAAAAAATGCATGATCTCAATGGGATTTTTGAGATAATGTTATAATTAATCATTATAAGCTTTAAACTCCATTTATTTATATATTTATTATTTTAAAAAAATTAAGTTGATACGAAAAGACTTGAAAGAATATATATATATATATATATATATATACATTACTATATGAAGAAAGATTAATTTATATTAGTGTAAAAAAAAATTTTTATATTTTTTAATTATTGATTTCTATAAATTAAAATAATTAAATTAAATTATTTTTTCTATTTTTACTTATCTTTCTCACCAATAGTAAAAAAATTGTATAAAATTTTTATAGTTTTATTCTGTGTAAATTAACACCTTCTCTTAATATAGGATGTAATCATGTGAAAGATGTAACTTTTGTCTACAATATTGATATTTTTACTATATGATGTGATCCTAATACCATATTTGTAAATTAAGACCAAGATAAGTGCTAGGAATGTCAATGCTCAAAATCAATTACAATTAATTTCACAAAGTAAAACTCCTTTTTACCATTTTTTCCCTTGTTTTGGTTTATCAAGTGTTTCAAAACATCAAGAAATTTCCTATCAACAATTTGGAAAAGAAATTCTCTTAGGAGAATCTAAAATAGATCTCTCCATATTCTTTTATCAATGATTAGTTGTGAATAGACTTAACGATTTGTATATTTTTATCGTATACAATATTAAAATTCATATATTTGTATTATTTTTTATACGAATATTACGTGTTATAATTTATATAGATACAAAAATATAAAAGATAATTTCTTTTGTTTTGTTAAATTCATATATAATTATTGTTATAATTTTAAATCATATCGCATTTGTGTCTTATTTTCGTATCGTATTTGTATTATATCATTGTATCGCATTTTAGATTGTCAGTTGTTAAGCTACTATCTTCTTTCAACCTATTGATTGAAGAAAATATTAAAATTTAATAACTTAAATATGATAATTTGTAAATACGATATAATAATATTATACAAAAATGATATAAAAAAATTACGTAAAAATAATATAATCTAAAATTGTTAAATCATATATAAATTTGATAAAAATTAAAAAATATGTTTTATATTTAATATAATAATTTTTATATTTTATATATATTTAAAAAAAATATGATACAAATATATGAATGACTAAATTTAGCAAAGATACGTAGATAGATATCTGTACTTGTATATATGCCGTCTCTCTTTAAAAAACGAGAAATGATGCACCGACATGAGAGAGGAGTATGGCAAGCCAAGCCCTTCCTTTACCAAGATTCCTTCTGGCTTTTCCTCGAGAAGCGTGTACTTCTTTCATGCCTACTCAGGCCCTCCATACACAAAACCATAGCCTCACCCTTCTTACCTCCATCTATAAATACACCGTCATGTAAAGCTTCGGAGACATAGCAATCCATTGCAATCTATAACAACTTTACAAACTCAAAAAAACCTTCAGTTCTCAGTTCTCACGTTCAAAAATTTTCCTAGTTCACCATGTCTGACAAGTGCGGCAACTGCGACAGCGCTGACAAGAGCCAGTGCGTGTAAGTAATCGATAATCCATCCATGACAAACTTCCTTCTAGTGTTGTGTGTGGTTTGAGATTACGTTATTGTTTTAAATTGTTACGTTCATTTCTGCCATGTTGCCGTCAGGCTGAACAAAAACTTTTCAATAGCATCCATTTTATCTTCATTTACCATGTTTCCTTGGGGACAACCTGGGGAAAATCGAACTAATTGCTATCTTTAAGCTCTTTGTGAGTTGGAAACCAAGTATCATTGAAACTAAAGGCTTTTTTCTGCATTTCTATGCTTACAGGAAGAAGGGAAACACCTTGGTCATTCAGAATGAGAAGAGGTATACTTTCTGCATTTCACTTTGATATCTGCAAAGAAACAAACCAATAATAAACATAAAATTTCATATATGCTACTAAGATCTGAATCATTCCTTAGATTTTCGAGCAAGCAATGAAAAACTTCTTAATTTGATGCATGATTTTCTGCATATATAACCTCCTAAGTACTTAACTAGAGAAGCAAAAAGAACTACGTTTTTCACAGTCGATGAATCGAGAATTAAGAAACTTAATTTGAAGTATACAAATGCTAATTATAATCTGTGTTGTGTTCTTTCTAAACAGCTACATCAACATTATTGTCGTTGAGGTTCCAGCGCTGAGAATGATGGCAAGTGCAAGTGCGGAGCTAGCCGCAGCTGCACAAACTGCACGCGGTGGTCATTAAGCAAACATAAAATAATAATGTTGTACTTTATGGCAATATTATGACCTAAAAAATAATGAAATTTGGGTTGAATGATTTGTCTTTTGTTGTCTATTTGTCATATGTTTGTATTTTTAGAATTTCAAATCAAATTACCTAAAATTGAATTAATCAAATTATATTATTTTATTTTATTAGTCGAATAAAATTTTTTAATTTTGAAAATGAACCGATTAAAATTAATTTAGTTGATTTGATTAATTTTTTCAATTAATCAAATAATAAAATATATTAAGTTAAATTATATTTAAAAATTTTATTTTCTCATATGTAAAACAAATTAAATAAAATCATCTAATAAAAATATTCAAACACCAAAATATTAAATTAAAAACCATAATAACTTAAAGTGAAATTGATTATTTCATATATTTTTAGTTTTATCTATAGGTTTTATAATATTTCGATTAAAATTTTGGTTAATTTAGTTTTCAAATTGAATTAACCAAAAATTAAAATTTTTATAAAATTAATTTCGATAATCAATCACAATTAATTCAGTGACCAACCAACTAACCAAATTAAATCAATTCAGTCAATTAATTTAGTTATGAACACCCATAGTTTGAGATGTTATTGGGAAAATTTTTTCTCTTATTTAAATGGGTATAAATAAGAATGAAAAAGAAAAGACTTCAAGCCTGTGGATGTAGCAGACTTTGGGCCTATGAAAGGGATAGTAGACTTAGACTGAATATCTTTTGGGCTGAATTCACGAACAAAGAAAAAGGTCAATACTAGATTTTGGCCCAACAAATGGACTAACAATAAAAAGCCCAATTTATCTGAATTTTATTTTTTGTAAAAAGAGTAGACAACTCATAATTTTTAATTTCTAATTCATATATTATTTAAATTAAATTTCACTTCATTCACCTAATTGATTTTATGTATACTAATCTAAATCTTTTTTTATTTCCCAACATAATATCATTATTTGGTTCGATAATTGATTTTTTATTTTTTAAAAGCGTCCATGAATGCATGTATAAATAAATAAATTTTTATTTTTTACAAAAACAACATAAACCAATACTTCATTCATCAAATTGTCGAAAAGGGTTTGGTATTTTATGTAATAATCCTAAAAAACTTGATATGAACATGTGAAGGAAAAAAAAAAAAGGGGGTTAGTGAAGAGGACAACCATGATTTTTCTTTGCTATACAAGGATAAAAAGATTAAAAACTTGTATGTAAGGCTATTCTTTGTTCTGATAAAATCTTCCAAGGTTGAGATTGAACTCTTCAATTAAATTCTCTCAACACACAGCCCCAAATCATATAGCAAATTCGAAAGCCACAATTCATCCTCGACATGGAAATTGAAGCTTCTTAATATTTGGTTTGTCATGGCCCGATAAGGCAGAACATGATTAAGTACTCCAGTTGTATGATCGTCCATTGACTCGTTGTCATCAAAAGATACGTATGCTTGTGCTTTGAAATCCATAAATCTTTCCACTTCCTTGATGAAATTTGTACTGCATATTTTGTTATGGGAAAGTTGAGAATGTTTTCACAAAGTGGATATGCAGATTGTTTATTAACCAGTTTTCCCTTTCATCCGATGTGAAATAAGCAAACTTACTATAAGTTCTTACAGTAAAAAAAACAAAGGGAAAAAATATGAAATAAACTAAAACATTAACAAAAAATGTTGGATTGCTACAACAAAATGGAAGAGCCAATATTTACCTTCCAAGAGAAGTAGGTGCATATATTTCCTATCTTCTTGAATTGCCATGAACAACAATTAAATGCAACAATGAGCAGACAAGAATTGTAATCCACAACCATTTTAAGATCGCTAAGAGAAACACTTTGAACTCTAGCGTCTTCTCATGTTCATACTAATGTCTGAAAATTGTGTTTATATAGACAGTGAAAAATAAATACACGTGAATTTTAGGACTAAAATATAATTATTCCAAATATTTTCTTTAAATAACTTATGATATTTGAAGATTTTTATAAGATTACTTAGGAAATATAACAATTAGCTTGAAGATTTTTACAATTATCATAATTTTAGAAGATTTTACAATGATAATAATTTTAGAAGATTTTGTTAAATTACTTATGAAATGTTCCTTTTATGTATTTTTATATTTTTTAAAAATAAATTTAAAAAAATTTTAAATCAAAAAATTCTATAATTAAGATGCCATTTTATATCTTTTTTTATACCTAATTAGAGATGTTCATGAGTCAAGCCAAGTTGGGCTTGAACCGAGCTTATGTTTGGTATTAATAATTTATATGCTTGTTTAAACTTAACTTGAAATTTTTATTTCAAAATTTTTTCAAGTTCGACTTAAATTAAAAAAATAATCACAAACTTACACACTAAACTTAATTTAAATAATAAAAATTAAAGAAATGTGATTAAATTAAGTTTAATAGAATTATATTTAATTCACATATATATAAATTAAAAATAAAAATTATATATGTAAAAATTTAAAATTAATAAATATATATTTTTAATTTTTAATTTTTACTTAAATGTGAATTAATTTATATATAATTCACATATACATATATATAAAAAAAAAATTTATATATATGTAAATTCAAGTTGGGCCAAACTTGATTTTTAAATCTTTTATCCAAATTTGAAATTTAAATGGACTTAAAAATTATGCTCAAACTTGTTTAACGAATTTTAATTTTTTATTCAAAACCTCTTAAAATTTAAACGAACTTTTAAACTTAGACAAATAGCCTAGCTCTTGAGCAGATCTATGCCTAATAATGTTGTTTGTGCCTAATCAACTGACTTTCTCCTTAAGTTTTTTCTTTTTCTTCATTTGATATGAAATTTTGTAGTGTTTTTTTTCTTAAGGTTAAAAACCCAAGCTTCTAAAGTTCTATTTACCATCATTTCATGGAGAACATTTGCTTACTTTAACATGTAATTATTGGATAAAGATAATAAAACATTATAGCAAAAAATTAATACCACACCAAACGATGGTTGACAATATGTCACCTTTCATAATATAGAAATGCACAAATATATGGGCTTACTCTTATATAAGGAGATGCCTTTGGATAACAAATTTTAAAAAATTTTGATATAAAAACATTTTAAAATACATCAATTCACAATATTAATCGAGACTAGAGATCTTGATGCATGTATGTAACAACCTATTTTCTAAATAAAGCTTTCTTTTTCTTTATTTTTTTTTCCTATCCAATTCTTCTTTCATTTTTTAAAATTGATTTCACCGCACCTTTCAAGAATAAGAAATTTAGTCAAAGGGAAATTCTCCATTAGTCTTTTCCAAGGAAAATGCCTAACATTCGGACGATCAATATATAAAGATATTTATGCCTCCTATATGCGTGTTGGAATACTAGTGAGCTACATTTTTAAAAGCAAATAGAAACTGAAAAAAAAAAATGCATGATCTCAATGGGGTTTTTTAGATAATATCATAATTAATCCTGATAAGCTTTAAGCTCCGTTTATTTATATACTTATTATCTAAAAAATGAAGTTGATATGATGAGAGAATATATATATATATATATATATATATGTGTGTGTATTTATTTATTTATTTTTGAGGAAGAATCAATTTGTATGGTATAATTCTTTTTTAACTTTACATATTTTTTTAATTATTAATTTCAATAGATCTAAAAGATGAAATTAAATTATTTTTTTTATTATTACTTGTCTCCATTATTTTTTAAGTCTATTAAAATCAATAATTTAAAAATATGTAAAACTAAAAAAATACTTATACTATGTAAGTAAGTCAGATCCCTTATATATATATATATAACTAAAAAAATTATATTGTATAATTAAATCAGATTCTTACACACACACGCATCTATATATATATATAAAGAATGTAGTCATGTGAAGTTGTAACTTTTTGTCTACAATATTTATATTTGTACCATATGATATGATGATCATGATACCATATTTGTAAATTAAGACCAAGATAAGTGCTAGGAATCAATTACATTTAATTTCACAAAGTAAAACCCCTTTATACCATCTTTTTCCGTAGTTTTGGTTTATCAAGTGTTTCAAAGCATCAAGAAATTTCCTACCAACAATCTTAAAATGAAATTCTTCTAAAAGAATCTGAAATAGATTTATCTATATCCTTTACCAAAGATTTGTTGTGGAGCTATTGTCTTCTTTCAACTTGTTGGTTAAGGGAAAAATTGAATTTGATAATTTTAGATACAATAATTTTTAAACATTATATAATAATATAATACAAAAAAAGCAACATAATTTAAAATTGACAAATCTTATATAAATTTAATAAAATTTAAAAAAATACATTTCATTTTTTATATATTAATATAAATTATAATATAATTTTTTATATTTTATATATATTTAATAAAATATGATACGAATATTTAAATTATTAAATTTAATAAAAATATAAAGATAGATAGATAGATAGATATATATATATATATGCCATCTCTCTTTTAAAAATGAGGAATGACATTGACATGAGAGGAGGAAGGCAAGCCAAGCCCCTCCATTATCAAGATTCCTTCTGACTCTTTCTCGAGAGGAGTGTGCTTCTCGCATGCCTACCTGGCCCCCTATATACGAAACAGCACCCTCTCCCTTCTTGCCTCCTCCACCTATAAATAAATGATCATGCAAAACTTTGGAGATATCTCAACCATTGCAAGCTATACCAACTTTAGAAACTCAAAAAACCTTCATCTCTCAGCTCTCACGTTCAAAAACTTTCCAAGTTCACCATGTCTGACAAGTGCAGCAACTGTGACTGTGCTGACAAGAGCCAGTGCGTGTAAGTAATCGATAATCCATCCATGATAAACTTCCTTCTAAGGTTGTGTGTGGTTCGAGATTATGTTATTGTTTTAAGTTGTTGTGTTCATTTCTGCTAAGTTACCGTCAGACTGAACAAAAACTTTTCCATAGCAGCTATTTTATCTTTTCCTACCATGTTTCCTCAGGGACAACTTGTCGAAACTCGAACTAATTGCTGTCTTTAAGCTCTTTGTGAGTTTGCAA